ACGGCACTTGCTAAGGCTTTGAAGTGGCCGTGCCTCTGGGCAACTCCCTTAAGTGTCCCAAGAGGACCTTCCCTCGCTGGGCTGTTCCTGGGTATCCTGATGGCATCCCTGCTCAGCAGAGCGGGCTGACGAGAAACCGGTGTGACGGCAAAGCCCATGGCTGAAAGAAGCTGAGATCCGTCCTCTGACTCGGGGCTCAGCAGCCTCTCCCACAGCCCCGGCCTGCCCAGGGCACTCAGCGCCCGGGCTCTGCAGCAGCCAGGGCAGGGAAGCAGAGCCACAAGTCTACCACCAGGCAGTTTTCTAAAGGTAGAGGATCACTCTTCAGAAGGAATAAAAAAAATGCCACTTTTTCTCCTGAGAATGTGCATATTCAGTCACAATAGAACTTGGTGCTGTATCTTTCAAATGACTTTAATACGACCCATCAATTATTCAAAGACTGCCTCTTGGGAACCATTTTTCTAGACCCTTTACCTATATATATATTTTTCTTTTTTATATTGAGCATCTTTATTTTACGTTCACTAAAGTCCTTTATCATTATTTTTTCATTAGCTCCAGGGGGAGCTAATAAAGAGAGGATATAGCATAATCTTGCTTCCACAAGAAACTGGTCATTGGGTAATACCATTCCCATCATTCCGTTAGCGACGTTGAGGTCGTTGGCAAATGTTTATAACAAGTCCTTTTTTAAAAAACACTCTCCAAAGCACTCTGTGTCGGCACCACTGCCAGCCAGGCAGGTGGCCCACCAAGACCCATCAAGCTAGCGGCTGAGAGAGCGAAATGTCCTTACTCTGTCGTCCCTCCCTCTGCCGAGCGCGGCCCTGTTGGCCTGAGCTGTAAGTGAAGGGCTGCCAAGCTGCACACCTGCTTTGTCAGTCTCAGACCTGAAATTTGGCCTGTGGGTTAGCAGTGCTGCTTGAGCTTCACTAGCTACTGAGCTGGAAAGAAAAATGATGTGACAAGGAAAATTACCTATGCACAAAAGCAGAAAGCCATCATATATATTAAAAAAATAATAATGCTCCCAAAAGAATGGCGGCAATTCCTCCCTAACCAGATAGCCTCAGAAAGGGCATGGCAGACAAGCGCCACAGCCATGCACAGGCTCTGACCAGCAAGACGAGGGGACGAACGGAGAAGGCTCAGTCCTGCCAGGGGAGCTGATCCCACCCGAGCCAGGTCAGGTCATGCCTGCTTCGAGGATCCAACTCCAGGCCGTGTGCAGCTCACCATTTCTTGGCTATTCTTGCCCAAGGAGAGATGAGGTGATGGAACAGAGAGGACATTGGACTTGGAGAAAGGAGACCTGGGTCCTTGTTCACATCTACCACAGTAAGTCACAAGCTTTCTGAGCCTCAACTTCTTCATCGGTAAAATGGAATTGATAATATCTTTACCACAAGCCTCTGAGGATTGCTGTGAGATTCAAATTAGAGTTAAAATTTGTCAATTGTAAAACTTTGTAAGGCCACAGGAAGTAACTTTCCTTCATTGCAGCTGGAGAATGCCGTAACAGCTTTTAGGTTTGGGGCAGAGACACGGTGGTTTGCAGACACAGACCAACCCAAGCTCCCACTCTCCTGACCGTGAGTGGCAGCGAGCCCGGAGTGGGCTCATGCTACCGTTTACGACCTTTGTAAAGCCTGCCATCTGTGGAGTGTGTGAGGGGCCGCGCTGTGCACGCGCGGATCTCTGGGGGAGAGGACGCAGCACGGCCTAGGGGCTGGCAGAGGCAGGCGCAGCACGCCCACAGACACGGAGACTACTTCAGATGTGGTTTTGGCTGTTTTAGTTGAGAGGTTTGGTTTTTGCAGGAGACGGGAGGCAGGGGTGGAAGAGGAAAAGAGGGAGAAAATAGGAATTGCAAGAACCCAGGAAACAGCCTCCAAGTCTTCAAGCACACTTTGTCAGGCTGGGTGTCTCACGGGTCCCCCCAACAGGGCATGTGTTCAGCCACCATCCCAGCCCTACCTGCTCATTGCCCTACGTTCCTTCGCCAGACAATGGGCACGGCAGCCACCACGTTGCTCAGAATCGCCCAGCACTCCCCACCACCCCACCCAGTGCTCCAAGTCCAAGTCCAAGCCCAGCCCACAGTCCGTCTTTCAAACGTCCGCTTCTCCAGCCCTATCTCTGCTGTTGGGGCCAGGGCCTCCTCAGTCACCTCTTGTAGTTCCCCTGCCTGCCTCCCCCTTGAATCCGCTCTCCATGCTCTTAACCTCCAAAACCACTGCCCTGCGCCCGTCTCCCTGGGCAGGCTCACTGCCCGCCTCCTCTCGCAGAGCCCGGCCTTCGCTCTAGCTCTCCGCGCGTCCCAGAGCTTCGCGAGTGCCAGCCCTGCCTGTGGCGCCTCCCCGCCCCGGCACTCCTCGCCCTGAAGCGCCCAGGAACCTTCCCAAGCCCACACGCTCCACTCAGTGTCCCTCCAGTGTTCCTGAGCACACCCGCTTTGATACGGCCGGAGCACTTCCACGCTGGGCGGCAGGAGCGTATTCTGAGACCGTGGATTCCTCTCAGGAAAGGCGCGGCTTGCTTGAGCTCTGGTGTTCAGCACTCGCAGGAGTGGCTGGAGCCCGGCAGCTACTCGGAACTGTGTGTTGACGTGAGTAGCTGACCTGAAGCGAATCTGGCTCAGCGAGTCTGGGCCTTAGTCTGGAGAAACCCAAAGGGGCCCAGGCCTCAACCCATTCCAGCCTACAGGGGCAGCCCTGTGTCCCCAGCCCAGCAAGCTGGTGACTGACTGAAGCCATCCCAAAAGTCAGGCCATCACCAGGAGTCACCAAACTCACTCCAAAGCTGACATAAGCCGGCCGTTTGCCCCAGAGTGAGCCAGGCCTTCTGTGCTACTCAGTGTAACCACCTTCAGAGGTGGGGGTCGCGACCTTATACCTAGCGAGGGCCTCAGCGGTAATCCTAAGACCATCACTTCAACCTCCTGCCAGGCACCCTGAATACGAATTTCTCAGATGAGCTGATGAGTGGGTGTAAACCCCGCTGTGACACGCGCCCCAAGTGCTCTGCGGCATAGCAGCTGCCCATGTTCCTTCCAAGCCGCGTCCCCCACTGCCCCACGGGGCCTGCGCAGAGACCACACGCCCTGCCATAGCTAGCGTGCGCGGCCCTTATGACAGCTGCTTTTCTGAAGCTCAAAACTTTTCACGCAAGTGGCATTCCATAGGGTTGAGCCTGTCTGAAGTTAGGCATTATCCTATATACGTTGTTATACGAAACACAATCATTACAGTTTCTTGGATTTTTCAAGTGACACTTCACCTTTCTTACTGACTTGAATTGTCCATTAGCCTTAAGAGGTGGCCTAATGTGGTGGGTTACAAAAAAGACCACAAGGCTTCACTTCTCCCTTTATCCAAGCACTTTTTGATGTGACTGTCAGCCGCTTCCATCAAAAGGCAAAGTCTACTTTCCCTCCTTTTGAATCTGGGCTGGCCTTGTGATTTGCTTTGCACAACAGAATGCAGAAGTGAGGGTGTGCCAGTTTTGAGCCCAGGCCTCAAAGACCTTTTCTGCTCCCCCCACCCAGAACCCTGCTAGCTGCCATGCAAACAAGCCCGTCTAGCCTGCTAGCTGATGGGACACAGGCCCAATAGCCCTGTGTCCGTTATCCATTGCTGCCTAACAAACCACCTCAAACTCAGTAGCTTAAAACAAAAATTATTGGTTCTGCCTACAAATCAGCAATGTTGGCAGGACCAGGCAGGAACAGCTCCACATGGCATCTGCTGGAGACCTCCAAAACCGGGAGTGGCTCTACACTGTGGAGCCCAAGTCATCTCCGAGAGAGCTTACTCGCTCACACGCCTGGGGTTGGCGCTGCCGTCAGCTGGGACTGTCGGCTGGACTGGCCTCTCTGTGGGGCTGCTCGGCCTCTGCACAGCCTCGCAGGGGAGTCCCAGAGCAATGTCACAAAAGGAGGAAAATGGAATCTGCCAGTTCCTCAAGGTCTTGAAAATCAGCCCTACTGTATTCTGTGGGCCAGGGCAGTCACAAAGGTCTGCCCAGATTCAAGAGAAAGAGACATAGGGTTGGAAAAACTGTCATTGTCACATTGTAAAAAGAACATGTAAGATATATATATTGCCATGACCATCTTTGGAAGATATTAATAGTATACAATCTGCCACAACGCCATCACTCTAGCCAAGTCAACCAACCGCCAAACACACGAGTGAGGCCATCCTAAATGAACCTTGTGCGCACACGCACACATACCAGCCAACTGGCCCACTGCCCAAACGCATGCGCAAGCTTAACCACAATTAGCCATGCCTGACCCAGATCAGCAAAACCACCAGGCTAACCTGTCAACTGATGCTGGCCATAGGCTGTGACCAGTAATAGATGGTTATCATTTTAAGTGATTAAGTTGTGGGTGATCTATCACACAGAAATAATCCTGGCCCCACCACCTACTAACAAAATAACCATTTGAGCTTCAGTCTCCTCGCCTATAAATATATTTAATACCCAGGTCTCAGGATTATCAATTATTAGGGTTCAATGACATGGTGGGTCATGTGCCTAGTAAGGTGCTGACACTGGTTGGAAAAATGACTGTCCCTCCCCTCCCACACATTCAAAGCTGTAATGAAGGTCATGTTCTCATCACTGCCTGTGCTGCATAGACCAAGGTCACACAATCTTGACTGGAAGTCAATCTCAGTTCTGCTGTATAGAAGGTGTCTTTCAAAAATAACTCTCCTTACTTACTAATCAATTAAACTAGGGAGAAGTTTTAAAATCACTCAACTATTCCAGCACAAAGGATAAAGGGCAGGACAAGAAGTGAACTGTGTGATCCTCCTAATGAAAATTTCAAGGAGTCTTGGTTTATAAACACTGCAAAAATCCATTCTAAACAAAAACATCAGCTTTTCACTGTGACTTGGATATTAGCCAACAATGAAGGAGAGACTGACCTCATTTAGGGTTGGTTGCACAATATGAAAAGTGATTTTCCCCCTTTCCCTGGACCTAGAGCTAATAGCTTTGTGTCCCTGATCAACAGAAGAGAACAATGGACTTGTCCCTTTAAAATCTGTAAGTGCACAAACGAAACCTGCTCACAGCCGACTCCGCCTGCACTTTGAAGCTGGCGCAGCTGACAGACGCTCAGCTGCAGCTGGGTGTGTAGAATGAACACATCACACTCAGACACTCCGTGCCTGAGCGCCGGAGAGGAAGGGGACCTGAGACATTTTTGAGAAAATGCAAAAGCAAAAGATGGCTGTCAGTCTAGGCTTTAGTTGCCCTTGACAATAACAACATACGCGGATGTTGACAGATGAATTTTCATTGGGCAAAAGGCTTTGGGGCACACAATTTCCTTTCAACCTGTGCCAAAGCTCTGTGCTGCAAACAGAGCAAAGGTTGATGGTCTCCTTGTGCAGGTGAGGAAAATTCTCTAATTTGACTAACTTGATTAATGGTTGCCACACTTTTAATGAGCTCTCAAACTGAGCAGCTTATAGAAATTCAGAGTGTTGGGTTCTACCCCAGAAATTTGAACATAGTAAGTCTGGGTGGAGCCCAGAAATTCGTGTTTTTGACAATATCCTAGGTGGCCCTTTGACAAGGTTGCTGCAGTCTGACACTCTTCTCACTATGCTAGATCAAAAGATGATTCATAAACTCATGGATATAAATAAATCCTGTTTTTCCATGGCTTGTTACTCTTAGGAATTTGAAATACCATGGGTCACATCATGCCCTCTCAAAACACAACCATTACATTCAGTGAAAGCCTCATAGGGCACAGTTGATGTGCAAGCTCGGCACTGGGGCTGACTGCCGACACTACCGTATTTGGCTTTGGAATGCAGATTTTTTTTCCAGCAGATTTGTCTTCTTAATTATGTCTGACTTCAGATAACATTAAAATTAAATTGCTTTTCCTTTTTCTTGGACCCACACCAGGGAATGGGGTAGGGAAAAAGGAAAAATAGAGTCATTCCTTAAGTGTACTAAATGGCAGAAAAACAAATGACTGATTCTAAGAGCTGAAATGAACTATAGTGATCACCTGGTCCAGCTTGTCATTACCTGAAAAGGAGAAACAAAGGAACAGAGATGTTAGGGTCACAGATAATCTAGCCTTGACCAAAATAGCACCAAGCCAATAGTACAAGCCACCACACAGCCCAACTGGCATTCAAAAACTTTGTGAGGGCCGACTTGAATTCTTCTTCTCAAAGTTGATCCACACTCTACCATATCTGCCCATCCTCTCATGGGGAAAATTACTCACATGAGAAGCTGGCAGGTATATAAGATGATTTTTACTTTAGGACAATGTATTGTGCTTCTACAAATTACTTTTATTGAATGAATGTTTTGTTTTTGTTTTTGTTTTTTGAGACAGAGTCTCACTTGTTGCCCAGGCTAGAGTGAGTGCCATGGCGTCAGCCTAGCTCACAGCAACCTCAAACTCCTGGGCTCAAGCAATCCTCCTGCCTCAGCCTCCCAAGTAGCTGGGACTACAGGCATGCACCACCATGCCCGACTAATTTTTTCTATATATATATTAGTTGGCCAATTAATTTCTTTCTATTTATAGTAGAGATGGGGTCTTGCTCTTGCTCAGGCTGAACTCCTGACCTTGAGCAATCCGCCCGCCTTGGCCTCCCAGAGTGCTAGGATTACGTGTGAGAGCCACTGCGCCCAGACTATTGAATGCATTTTTCATGAACTAAAAGTGTCTGCCTTTTTGTTAAGCCACCTCACTATCTTCAGATATAGCCAAAACTATTCCCACATGGTTTCATAATAGACACTCAATTACTGAAGCCTGAATCTATTCATAAGGTAGGGCAAGGGACATTTTGGTGATCTAGACGCAGATGTGAACATTGAAGTATGTTAAGGGAAACTGTATCAAGTTAGCACCAAGTTAAATTAGACCAGCCAAAGGAAAGGCATTTCAAATATCCTCTGGGGTTTATCAGGAAGGGTCTCAGTGTTATGGGAGCATCAAGCAGCATAGCATTACTGCCATTTCCCCAGCATCTTGACCTAAGGGAATAAAAATGAGTTCTGCCTACCCAGTAGAACAGGTGCCATTCTATTCAAAGAGGTTCTCACTGCTATGCAGATTAATGCACAGATTCACATTTTGAAGTAAAAAGCTTTTGCCTTGATCTCATGGCCAAGGTCTCCCAACATATCTGTCGCAACCATTCTATAAAGACTTAGCCAATGCTTTAATTCCACATCAACAATAGTCATGTGGAAAACTAACTAGATGCTCTCCAATCTCTTTTCCCATCATGGGGATACAGAAGAACTACATTTCCTATTTTCCTTTGCAGTTTGGCTGGAGCCACGTGACCAGGTTCTGGCCAAAGGAATATAGGAAGAAATGATGATAGCCACTTCCAACCTGGGTATAAAATATGCCACACAATCATGCTCATGCTATATCTTTGCTCATCAGCCAGGGCAAGCTGAAGATCCAGTGGCAAATGCCTGAGGAAATAGGGGAGCCACAGGATAAAACAGGTGTAGGTCTCCATGTCAGCCCTGGGGGAGTGCCCTCTAGTGCGGCTGCCTCGTCCCTGAAGGCTGCGGCATGAGCAAGAGGAAACCTCTCGATAGAAACCGGCAAGACTTGGGGTTTGTGGGCCACAGCATGTAGCTGGTTCTAACTATTACAGGTCACACCTTCACAACTGAAGAACTGAGTTTATAGTAGGCTTATCTATAAACCAATATGAAACAATACGACCAGAAAGTAAAACAACCTCACTCCCTACGGAACTAAACATGTTTTGGGTGCATTTTTATCTCTTTTACAACTGAAACAGTCAACTGTTTATCTCTGTGACTAATCAAATCCACATCAGTATAAAATCTTAACTGTTCTCTTCCTGTTAATAGCTTGAATTCATAGGTTTTATCTTACAACCTTTCTTTATTTGAAATGTTCATCTTTGTATCAGATTCATGGTGCTTCTAGAGGAAAAAAATCTAGATTTGATAATAATAGCTAATATTTATTGAACACTTACTATGTACTAAGGACACTGCCAGTATTCTCATAACCACCCTATAAGTACCAATTTACAGGTGAGGCAATTAAGGCAGAAAAAAAGTTCAATGTGTATCCTAAGGCCACCCAAGTCATAAATTATTTAGCCAAAATTAGGAACCATCTACTCTCATTCTAAAACCTGCTTTCTTAAACATCTCACATCTTTTTAGTAACTTTTTTCCTTCTTCAATGCAGTTTTGTATGCTCATTTTCTCTGAGTTGTCTGTATCTCATAGTAACCATTTTTCAAGAGACAGAATTCCAAATTGGGTATGAGTGCAGCTACTTTAATTATTCTCTGGTCATCTCCCTAAATGGACCTCTGAATTGGCTCATATTTTATTACTATGAGTTCTACATATTTATAAATATAATCTAGGTTCTTTTGAATTATGAATTCTTCAAACTTCTAACTTTTTTCAAAGGCTTATGGCTCCTAACACTCACTTCTTAATGACTTAAAGGAACAATTTTTTTCCATTTCAAATTTCAAGCCTGCTTATGTTTTAAATATTCAATATTTAGGTATTATGAGAGCAATAGGATTATTTGATGTCCTAATTGCCTCAGGCCTTATTTTAAATGCCTTTGTAGCAAAGGGTGACGCAAGCCATAGCATTCATCCTTTCTATCGCTCAGTTTAAAGAGCATCCAGGCAGCCCAAAGGATGTGAGACCCAGTCGAACCCTGAGGAATATCACCCTCTCCCCACCTCCCCATCCTCATGCCCCCTCCCAACCACCTCCAGGCACACATGCGCACACACACACGCGCACACGCATGCATGCACACACACTCCAGCTGGTAAAATGAGGTCATAAAGGATATCTAGAGCAGATTTCAGGGTAAAAGAAGGTACAGAGGGGCAACATGAGGCACAATCCCCCAACTCACTTTTTCTTTGTTACTGGAGTTCTAGGGACTCATGATAATTACAGATAAGCGTACACCAGTATGTATGTTTGCACATCTACATGGAATGCTAGCATGGTCTGAAGTCCTGAAGCATGGGCAAAACTTTGCCGTGGTGCAAAGTTTCAAAGGCGGTTGAAATCTTCATCTTCTTACTCACATCCTAGATGTAAGATTTTGAGATCAGGAGATAAGCAAGAGACTTTCAGTTGGGATTTTGTGTTGTTTTTTGTTCTGGGGTGTTTTCTTTGTTTTTTTTGGAAGGGGTTGTTTGGTTAGAAGTTTGGTTGGTTTTGGAAAGGGCCTTTGGTGAGAATTATTCATATCCTGTGCTTCCTCCCACCAAGTCAAGTCTAAAGGTGGGGTTCTGCCCTCACTTCACACCTAAAAGAAGAGATTTCAAAAGAACTGCTCAGAGGGCTACAGGCTCTCGTGTGCACACCTGACTTCCACCTTCCAAATCTAAAAGGCAAGACCAGCTTACTAGCTGGTTTGACGGCAGAGTGAAAAAGAATTTGAGACCTTGGGGCACATCTCTGGGCTACCAGATGAGATGCTTTTTCCTGCTTAGGAGCCAAGAATAGAGACTCCCAGGTTGGAGGAGGATGCGTATCTTCTCCAACCCCTCCTCCCCTCCCAGAAAGTGCCCATAAGAGCAAGAATCGGGTTTAAACATCTGCCAAGCCAAAGAGTGCCATCTCTGGGTATCTTAAGGTAGCCATTACGCAAGATGTTTCTTGCTCTCCTTATCTCATCCCCCTCCCTGCACCCACTGGTCAGGGACTACCTAGGTGGCCACAGAATTTATCTTCCATACTGAGAGATTCCTGAGAGGGAAAAGGTGTGCTGGTTCTTTCTGTATGTCAGCCTAGCTAGGCTATGGTGCCCAGTTGTTCGGTCCAACACTAGTCTAGATGTTACTGTGAAGATATTTTATAGGTTTGATTAACACCTACAATCAGTTGACTTTAAGTAAAGATGACTAACTTCAATGATGGGAGGAGGGTGGGGCTCATCCAATTACTTGAAGGTCTTAAGAACAAACACCAAGGTTTCCCAGAGAAGAAGCCATTCTGCCTCCTGACTGTAACATAGAAATTCTGCCTGAGTTTCCAGCCTGCCAGCCTGTCCTACAGATGTCAGGTTTGCCCACCCTCACAATCACCTGAGCCAGTTCCTTAAAACAAATCAATCTCTTAATCTCTCTGTCTCTCTCTCTGTCTTTGTCTCTCTGTCTCTCTCTCTCTATCTGTCTGTCTCTCTCTCTCTCTCTCTCTCTCATCATCGGTATGTCCTAGTGGCTCTGTTTCTCTGGAGAACACCAACTAATGCGAAGGGGAACAATACCTGGGGCCACCCTGAGCTAGTGAGGATGTACAATCTCCCTGGTCCGAACCCTGGGATTAGCAGAATGTAGAGCTCGCAGGTGTGAAAAGAGGATTCGAAGTGCCAGGGGAGGAAAGAGAAGAGAGAGGAGGCTGCCCGCACGCATTCCCTTTGCTGGATTGTGGCCTCCTGCCTGGAATAAGCCTAAAGTGAAAGAGAGAATTTATTATTTTCAAACACATCAGAGCTTTAACTATAACATAGGACTAGACATATTACTACCGTCCCAAGTCTGTATTGTATGCTCGAGGTGATGGGAGGACGTTGTGTGACTTAAACTGATTGGTGTGTGTGTTTCTGTCCTCTGGCATCTGGCATGGGCATGTCTGTGTTTCCTTTGGGGACACAGGAAAAATGAGTCCCACACAGTGGACTAGAAAGACAGTGGGAGACAAAATAAAATTACGCTCTGAGCCCACTGCATGGTTCCTCCCCCTTGGCGCAGTCCTGCCCGAGTCACAGCCAGCTCCCACGCCTGCAGCACGGAGGCCGCCCAGGCCTGCGCAAGGGCCCAGCTAACCTTAGACCCGCAGCTCTGCTGAGCCCCATCCGCTGGGATGAGCTCAAAGACGGCTGTTTGGCACACAGCACCTACTTCTTAATTAACACGATTAGCCCTCCAGGGCATATGGTAACTGTAAAAGCTGTTTAACACATTCAACAAATACTTCCCACTTGAAGTACCTATTTATTGAGCATCTACCCTGTGCCTAGTGTTGTTTAACAGGAAGTACAAAGATAGAGCCTCTGGGTTGAAGAAACTTGCAATCACATGTGAGTTTTGGTATAGCAATCTTCCTATATTCCATTTTAAGGCTCTTAGGTATATATCATGAGTCAACCTACATTTTAAAATATGAAGACTTTGAATTTGACCTTCTTATTTTTTTCCTAAACTCATCCTTGGGAGTTTTGTTTCTGGATATAAAAATTAGGGCAAAGATTAGTTTTGTAGTTTGAATGTGAGGCCCAAAACTAAAGATCACAAACTTTAGATTGGGAAGAATTTTCTCTTGCTGGAGATTTAGAATGTATCCCAAATCCTTTTATTGTGCACAATACACACACACACACACACACACACACACACACACACTTCTTATTTTCAGGTTTTTCAGGCTCCATTCACATGATCCAGCATTTTTATTATTTTTTTAAATGCCCAAAGATGGCCTAAGGACTAAAATAAATTGCTTTTCCTGAGATACAGGAGTAGCATTGAAATCACCCTTTTGAAATACAGAATACCAAATGGCCAACCTATATGATTCTTTGAAAACACTAATTGTACAAGAGATAGCTCATGAAGTGGTTTCAGATGTCCCTTCGGAAGGAAGTGAGAGTTAGGATGAAGCCAAGTGATTAGCATTCTTGAGCACAAGGTCCACACCCTGATAAAAAGAAACTTGCATGGGACCACTGCTTTATTCTGAAATGCAAAGTTCAGGTGTAGGTCAATAACAAAAGGACCAGAAACAGATAGGGTGGTCCCCAAGGATTGATCAAAGATTAGACAGAGCTTGTGCGGCTAAGCTGGGCAGAAGGGTCATTGTCACAAGTGTGGTGAAGGCTGTTAGCACTTACTGACTTACTGTCATGAAACAATGAGCACTGATACACCCAGCTCCGGTGACACCTGCACCGGCCGCTTCCACTAAGCTGTACCTTAGTTCTCATTTGGGCCAAAGCCAGCCTGATTGTCACTTAAGCCTTGTTCTTCTCCAGTATTTCCAGAACTAAATCAAAGACCATCCAAAAAGACCTGATTCATAAAGGAAATGGGGCTGGGAGTGCTATCGTTTTATCTGAAACCAAATGTGTTTCTTTGTGCACTGTCTAGTAGTAGGTCATTGTTCATATAAAGAAGCAAGTTTCCTGAAACAAACTTTGACTTGTTTCCTTGAAGGCCCAGGACACATGCCCCGCATACCCGGAATTACCCTTAACCGACCCTGATGCGTGCAGCATCCTCCCGCCATGCCCCGCGAGAGCTGCCCAGCCTGGTAAGCCTTGCCTCCCTCAGAATTCAGTTAATGCACCTTTTCCCCTCAAGGGTACACATGGTTTCTCCTTCCCGGAGCATCCCTTGCACATCTCTGGCCCACTCCTGTTTTGCACCACCAGAATGTCCCGAACTTTATCAGAGATGATACAGATGCAATTAAACCTGAATTCTGGTCTCTCCTTCTGACAACTCAGCAGACAATTAACGATGATAGAAGAGCCTGCCAGCTGCCGCCCGGCACACCAGCGAGAGCCCCCGACTCCCAGGAAGATGGAGGGTGAAGGGCAGGTCCCTCTGGCTCCATCTCAATCTGTCTTTTATCCGATACTAGCTAAAAAGTAATACTTACTTTGGGGAAATCTAGATTCTTTCTTCTCCCCGCTTAAATGCGCCGAATAGACAGTTCGGGATAATGCAATATCTGTGAAATAAATAAGAATGCTTCTGAGAAGAGTCCTTAAAGCTTCATCACCAGGGACAGGAGATCCGAGTCCGAAGCCAGAGGAGCAGGCTGTGCTCCCCCGAGAGCTGCAGGAGCGGCCGCTGGTAGGGGACACTCCATGGGTTTTTCCACAATAATGCTGTTCACTCAAAACCAACTTCGATCACATTTGTCTCTTTCTCTCTAAATGTTAGGTTTGGCCACAACTGTAGTCTGGTGCGATAAAATGCTTGGAGGGAGACCGAGGCCTGAGGGAGACGCAGGCTGTGGAGGGCTGAGACTGGGGAGAAAACCAAAACAGGGAAGATGAGAGGAAATGCACTCACTTCAAATACACACGCTCAGCCTCCCTGGCAGCAGGACCTACTGCGGCTCCCTGTGTCGCTTTCTGTTTACTAGTTTGGTGTTTGGGGGGCTTGAGAATCCATTTAGATAATTCCCACGGGAAAAAAATGCAAATGACTCATAAACATATGAAATGAATGTTCAACATCACTTGTAATCAAAGAAAGGCAAACATAAAACAAGATAGCATTTTCACCTATCAAATTAACACAGAATAAAAGGAACCCTAATGCTCAACAGGGTAGTGAGATGGCCCATCGCTCCGCTGGAGTGTTCACTGGTACAACCCTTCTCCTGGCAGTAGGGAGCAAATGTCTTAAAACTACGCATACTCCTTGGCCCCGTAATTCCCTTTCTAGGATCTACCCAAAAGACATAAGTAGCAATTTGAACAAAGGTTTGGGAGCAAAGTTTCACTGGGATGTTATTTACAAGGAAAAATACAAAAATAAATATAACTTTGTTATAAATTATATAGTATAACTATATAAGTATAAAACTAGATTACAACATTCCCTCACCAATTAATATTATACAGAAAATATATATATATATTAAGACTATAACTCAAAGTGAAAAAAGTAATATATAATGTGATCCCTATTTTTTTAATTAAGAGAGAGAAATATGATTCATCAAAATATTAACAGATTATTTCTATGTAGGTGATTTCAGTTGTTTGGGTTTTTTTTTATCCTTTTCAAAATTCTCCACAATGAACATATGGCAATCAGAAAATACAAGCAGTATTTTAGAACATGTAAATAAAGGATGAAAAGTATATGAGTCAGGGTGAGCTTTGTAACAAACTCCAAAGCTTAAAAAGATAAAGGTTGATTTCTTGCTCACACTGCGAGTCGGAAGGCACCATGCTCACGTCCCTCACTCAGGAACAGAACAACAGAACAACAGAGCCTCCGGCACTCGTCACCATGGCAGGGGAAGGAAACGGGACACATCGTACACTGGCTCTTAACGGCTCTCGTCCAGAGATGAGACCACCTTCTCCACCCGTGCGGCTGCAGACGCACCGGCCTCCACGCTGTGCCTCTAAACACTGGGCATCCTCTGCTCCCTCTTTCTGGATTGCTCTTTAGCCAGAGAGCGACCAGTCCTTCTCTTCCTTCAGGTCTTGACTCACATGTCAAGTTTTGATGAGAACTTCCTTAACCTCCCATCCAAAATTCCCACACTCCACTTCCCAGCGCTTACGACGACTTTACTTTTTCTCCATAGCACTTAATACTCATCTCTAAAGTTCTTCCTTTGTTCATCGCCTGTGTCTCACACTGGAACGTAAGCTCCAGGAGGGAGGGCCTGTGGTCACTGCCGTTCACTGCTGTGTGTCCAGCACCCAGGACAATGCCTGGCACGCAGGGGACATTTAAAATACATTTGTTAAATAAAGAGATTAATTAAAACCGAAAACAGTGAACAGCGTTTCTCAGAATTATTCTGCCCAGAGCCGGTGAGGAGCGCGCTCCCGCGCCCCGCTCCCCTCTCCGCCCGCGCCCCGCTCCCTCTGCGCCCGCGCCCCGCTCCCTCTCCGCCCGCGCCCGCTCCCTCTGCGCCCGCGCCCGCTCCTCTCGCCCCGCCCGCCTCCCCTCTCCGCCTCTCTCTCGCCGCGCCCCGGCCTCCCTCTGCGCCCGCGCCCCCCTCCCCTCTCCGCTCTCTCTCCGCCCCGCCCGCCTCTCTCTGCCCCCGCCCGCTCCCTCTCCCCCGCGCCCGCTCCCTCTTCCGCCGCGGCCCGCTCCCTCTGCGCCGCGCCCGCTCCCTCTCCGCCCGCGCCCCGCTCCCTCTCCGCCCGCGCCCCGCTCCCTCTGCGCCCGCGCCCCCGCTCCCCTCTCCGCTCTCTCTGCGCGCCCGCTCCGCCGCCCCGTCCTCTCCGCCCGCGCCCCGCTCCCTCTCCGCCCGCGCCCCGCTCCCTCTCCGCCCGCGCCCGCTCCCTTGCGCCCGCCCGCTCCCTCTCCGCCCGCCCCGCTCCCTCTGCGCCGCGCCGCTCCCTCTGCGCCCCGCGCTCCCTCTCGCCCGCCGCTCTCTCGCGCCCGGCCCGCTCCCTCTCCGCCCGCGCCCGCTCCCTCTCCGCCCGCGCCCGCTCCCTCACGCTCGGAACAGGCTCTTTGCCAGTTGTGGAGGCCACTAACGCAGACTGTGGAGAATGGGCCATCTTACCTTGTAGACATTTATAAATAAAAGATGAAAATATTTCTTTAGATCTTCATCAAAGTGGAGTTTTTTGCCAATCTACTTCATTTATGAGAAAATTATTCACTGAATGTTAGCTAGGTTTCAGATAGCATGTTAGGCCCCTAGGGACGAAATGACTCACAGGACACAGTATTTGACCTCTGGGGAGACAGATACAGACTCAAATAGAGGACCGCATTCAGTGGCAGCACAGGCATGACCACGTGTCGCGAGACTCAGAGGACTGTTTCAGAGTCTGAAAAGGCCCAGGAATGCTCTCCAAAGGAGGCGGCCTCTCAGCGAAGTCTTCAAGGAAAAGTAGTGACCTAAGGTTAAACTAGGCTTCTAGGGACCATCCAGTCAAGGGGAAGGGCAGGCAACAGGCGCACCCACCGGTGTGAGAAGAAACTACCACCTTCTCGGATCAGCTGTGGGAAGGTGCGGAGTTCTGGGAGAAGAGACAGGGAGGGGAGCCAGGGCCCAGGTCGAGGAAGGAAGGCCTTGCAAACCCTGTGGCGAGCTTGCCTCATGGCAGCTAAAGCTTTCCTTTGTTCAGAGACTCGGTGGGAGGGTGAGTTTCCCCAGAGAGATGACAATGGAGCAAGAACCCTGGGCCAGGCAAGAGGCTGAGGGCTGGTGTGAATGGGGCGCCAGTGCCTCCTCTGCAAGCAGGCTGAGCTGCCATGCGCACAGTCAGCTGCACGGCACTGCCTCGTGGGGCAGGCAGTCTGCCATGCTCGTTAATGAACCAGGCCTTGCTGGACGCTGCCAGTGCTCGCTCGGGGCCAGGCTGCCCCCCGCGCTGCAGCTGAAGCCATCCGTTGTGATTCTAGCATTGCTCAGAGTGTGAGCAGGAGAGGAAAACGCCAGTGAGGCTCTGGCTGCCTCCCTTCTTCTACCTCCTTTCTGGCCTCCCACCACCACCAGCCCCAATTACATCGCCCCCCAAACTGCGCATAGCCCACATAGGAAGCACCTGCCATGCGCCAGGCACGGAGCCAGTCATGGGTCCAGCATGAGTCCTAGTTCTCCTTGGCCATGTTCTCCTTTCTACTTTTCTGTATATAAGTCTGTCTCCTTTACCAGGTCATAAGGTTCTTGAAACCAGGGACTACGTTTCAGGCATTTCTGGATCTACCAAGTACCTTGCACAATGCCTGGCACATAGTGGGTGTTCAGTAAGTATCTGCTGAGTTGAAAGTAACAGTGCAAGGGAGGTCAACCGGAGGCGGCCACTGAGAACTACTGAACCCCTTCAACGGGACCTGTAGGCCTCATACCTGAGCTGGGCTGGGAGTCCAAAATGGAGCACTGATTCCAAAGGAATTTAGGATTCCCAGACTTCCAATAGAGGGCAGTACGGTGATAACATCAAGAGGTAATCTGATGAATAATCACTGTTGTATAATAGCAGAAAATGTGCCCTAGCCCAGTAAACAAAAGGAAAACTGCAAAGAAAGCATTTATGGCTATAAACCATTTTTCTTTATTCCTCATCTGGGTCCTGAGGCCTGTGATTTGGCTCCAATTTTTCATTTGTGGTTGTTTGTTTCAGATAATAAAACTGTTTCTTTAAAATAATGGAGACTATATTGAATCTAAAAATAAATATCAAAAGACCAAAGTCCCCGAGTGGGAGCAATTATTGCAAAAAGACCGGCCAAGCTCAAAACAGCTGCTAAGGGATCCTGGCCCAGGCAAGAGGAGCCTGGCCTCCTAGCTGGTCTGGAGTCACATGGGCAGGCTGACAAACCAAAACAGAGAGAATTTTAAAATACAGAAAATACACACAGCAACGATAAATATACTGCCCTATGAACATTGCTCTTATTTGATTATTACTGACCACTATTTGTTGTATTGTTAGGACACTTCACAAAATGGAAAGAAATGAGCATTTGTCATGTGAGAGACAGAAGAAAAAAAAACAGAAGAAAAGGCTACTTGTGAATTTCCAAGAGAAATAACACTAGGGTCCAATTTTTCTGTTAGATATAATAAGTCCCAGTTAGTAAACAAAGGAGAAGTAGGCCAAGCTGATGTGGCTTCATTTCAATATTGTGTTTGTTTGTTCTCTGATGCATTCAAAGAAAAAAAAGTGTCAAAATCATTCAGTGAATTCCAAGTACAATAGTTACTAGAAGTCTGCAGCTATTTCAGAAGTGCCATCCTCCACAAGATCTGGGCCTGGACAATTCACAAAAAACAACCTATTATTTATTTTTTAATAAGCCTCTATGTAAAGACAATTCTCTTAGAAAGCAAGGCATTGATATGCATATGTTTTCCTCTTCCTGAGTGACTGTGTTAATATTTGCATTACTTAAAGAATACATTCCCACTAGTAATTATTTGACCAATTATTTTTAAGTATATAATAAATTTTCTCATCACTGATTTATTCGATAAGCATTTACTGGGTGTCTACTATGTACCACTCTACTAACCGACACCAGGAAAGTGTCAGTTTCTATACTCAAAAAGCTCAGAGTCTAGTGGAAGAGTTATAAGCAAATGGGCAACCGAACAGTGGAAATGCTGTGATTCAGTCACACAGAGAACTGGCACCGATCCAGCCTGGTGGGCAAGGGCTGGGATCACAGAGGCTTCCTCTGGAGAGAGCTGAAGATGCACAGTGAGAGAAGTGTCCCTTAGCCAGGCGGATTTGCTAGAACCACCTGCAAATATTGAGACAGTCACTCAGGAAGAGGAAAATGTATGCATATCAATGTGTTGAAAGCAAGAGACTTACTGTCATCTGCTTATCACCAACAAAAGTAGAAACTAATATTGGTCAAGAGCTTACTCTATGCCAGGCATTGAGCTAAGTACTTTGAATATTAGATCTTGTTGAGGAAATATTGTTAATACACATGAAACCATAGGATATCAACATATGGTCATGTCCCGCCCCCCCCCAAAGATGCTCACATTCTTACCCCTGGAACTCGTGAATGTGCTACATTGGCACAATATGGTTACATGGCTTTGCAGATGAAATTAAGGTTAGAAACTCTTTACATGTGTATGTGCTGGTCCAAAGCAACTCTCTGCGATTACCCTCATCGAACCCTGCAATAGTATGAGGCAGGCAGGGAAGACATCAGTTGCCCCTTTATACAACTGGGACCCCCAATCTCAACATAAATTCCAAGCTGCCTGTGGTTCAGGCTCCACCAGCTCTGCTCCACCACCTAAGTGGTTCAGAGCATCCATGAGACATACACCCCGCACACGGACTCGCACAGCTGTGCTGCTGCCCACAGGTTAAGGCTTCTTTGCTCCACTTAGGGTGATAATTATCAACAAATACTATAATATGACTTTGGCGCAGAGAGCAATGTCTCTGGTGACCTTTATACCTGTTCTGGGGACCAGCCACAATGCTTTAAATGCCTCATTTTTACTCAGTTGTTTAATGTACAAGTTCCTAGAGTTATTTTGCACCTGGGGGAGGAGGGTTAAGAAAATAAAATTTGGTTTCTGAGAAGACCCCGAAAGAAATCTGCTCTAACTTATAGCACAATCCATTTCCCAGGTCTTTCTGGAATGTTCTGTGGGCCTGCCAGGGTGCTGGGCACTGGCAAGGCAGTGCTAAAGACCACACAGGCCCCTGCCGTCGTGGGGCTTCCATTCCAGTGGGAAGGGCAGAGGTGAATGAGTTAGCAAACGTGTAGAAGCTGTAATTGGAAGGTACAGGGAAAGCAACACGCAGCACCTGAGATGCGTGGTGCTCACGCATGGGAGGTGCCTATTTTAAGGGTGCACAGGGCAGGGGTTCTGATCATGGGGATTAGGAAGTTGAAACAACCCGGCTTCTGCATTGTCCAACTCAGCTCCCCATGTGGCCACCCAGGTAAGCTGGGCCCTGTGGGGAACAGGGTCCTGAACTGTGGAGACATCCCCCACGGGCAGAGCCAGGGGTGCGGGGAGGTGGGGGCTTGGAGGAAGGTGTAAGCAATTCAACTCCTACAAAATACACCTGACCTGCTTCTCTGCCCCCTACCATGTGAATTTGGGCTATTTACCCTCTCTGTGCCTCAGTTTCTTCCTAGGATTGTGCTGATGCACGTAAATCACTGAAGAGTGTTCAGCACACAGTAAGTGCTTAATAGACACAAACATAGTTATAGCTTGATAAATATTAGCTTTCTTGAGATGTATATATTCTGAAAAGTGAAGAAAAATGAACTACTCCCTATGAGGTCTGCGCTGTACGTACACATCTCACATTACCATTACTCCCCATAAGTTGATGCACACTGTTATGGGTTGGATTGTGTTC